ATGTGAATAACATATTTTTCTCGCACCATCGCGTTTCGAAACCAAATCGTATACATTTAATGAAGTCGATTAAAATAAGAGCAAAAAAGGGCAAAAACGAAAAATAATCAACTTCTCCGGAAAGGCTTGTTTTCGAAAACGGCACCATTATTGATGTGAATAACATATATTTCTCGCACCATCGCGGTTTCGTAGCAAAATCGTATACATTTAAAGAAGTCGAGGAAAATAAGAGTAAATAAAAGAAAAAATGAAAAAAATAATCAAGGTCTCCGGAAAGGCTTGTTTTCGAACACGACACCATTATTTGATGTGGATAACATATATCTCTCGCACCATCGCATTTCGTAACAAAATTGTATACATTTAAAGAAGTCGAGGAAAATAAGAGTAAATGGGGGTAAAAACAAAAAAAATAATCAACGTCCTTGAAAAGGCTTGTTTTCAAACACGGCACCATTATTTGATGTGAATAACATTAATTTCTTGCACCATCGCATTTCGTAAGAAAATTGTTTACATTTAAAGAAGTCGAGGAAAATAAGAGTAAATAGGGGCAAAAAGAAAAAATAATCAACGTTTCCGGAAAGGCTTGTTTTAGAACATGGCACCATTATTTGATGTGAATAACATATATTTCTCGCACCATCGCGTTTCGTAACAAAATTGTATACATTTAAAGAAGTCGAGGAAAATAAGAGTAAATAGGGACAAAAACAAAAAAATAATCAACGTCTCCGAAAAGGCTTGTTTTCGAACACGACACCATTATTTGATGTGGATAACATATATTTCTCACACCATTGCATTTCGAAGCAAATTCGTACTCATTTAAACAAGTCGAGGAAAATAGTAAATAGGGGCAAAAACGAAAAAATAATCAACGTCTTTAGAAAGGCTTGTTTTCGAATACGGCACCATTATTTGATGTGAATAACCTGTATTTTTCGCACCATAGCGTTTCGAAGCAAAATCGTACGCATTTACAGAAGTTGAGGAAAATAAGACTAAATAGGGGAAAAACAAAAAATAATCAACTTCTCCGGAAAGGTTTGTTTTCGAACACAGTACCATTATTTGATGTGAATAACATATATTTCTCGCATCATCGCGTTTCGAAGCAATATCGTATACATATAAAGAAGTCGAGTAAAATAAGAGTAAATAGGAGCAAAAACGAAAAAATAATCAACATTTCCGAAAAGGCTTGTTTTCGAACACGACACCATTATTTGATGTGAATAACATATATTTCTTGCACCATCGCGTTTCGTAACAAAATTGTTTACATTTAAAGAAGTCGAGGAAAATAAGAGTAAATAGGGGAGAAAACAAAAAATAATCAACGTCTCCGGAAAGACTTGTTTTCGAACACGACACCATTATTTGATGTGAATAATATATATTTCTCGCACCATCGCATTTTGTAGTAAAATCGTATACATTTAAAGAACTCGAGGAAAATAAGAGTAAATAGGGGCAAAAACGAAAAAATAATCGTATACATTTAAAGAACACGGCACCATTATTTGATGATGTAGTGGACTGCGAGGAAGGTGTTGGGCCCAACCGATCAGCCCAAGTCGGCAATGCCGAACAGGAGAGTGGTTTTTCTCGGGTTAATGTGTTCGTTTATGGATTTTCGGACGAGAAGCTTTGCTCCTTCGACAATCGTTCTCTGCACGGTTATTATTATTGAATTAATGCGTCGATAAGAAGCGAAAATTGGGTAAATGAGGAGAAAAGAATACCTGGTAAGAGGAGTTCTTCGTGTAGCTTTGGCTGCCATAACCACCATTCATTGCAAAGTCATTTGTGGAGTCCATCAATCTCACTCTCTTATTATGTATTAAGTTTTGGGGAGCTTTTTATAGTTGAAAGATTCAAATATTCCTCCCAAGTATAAAAACGCAGAGTTTACTGAGTTTAATATTAGTCATCTGTAGGGTCAAGGTCATGAGTATTTTGCTTTTGAAATTTTTCAAACATATATACTTTTTTTGTAATTGAAATCTTTTACACGATTTATTATACCAACCATAGTTTTATTTTGGGAAGGCTACCGTCCCGTAACGAAATCATTTCGTAGGAGTTTGTAACCGTTAGATCAACTATACCTGACGGTTACATGAAGATCTAGCGATTACAAATTTCGACGGAATATTCCGTAACGGGAGTGTAACATTTTCTTTTACTTTTAGTCTTCTACAGTATAAAGTATGGATATTATTTACGTGCAGGGTTAACTTATGAATATTAGGGGGATTCTCTTGTAGATAAATATGATTTTTTTTATGGAGTATTTAGTTGTGATTTCAAGGAATGAGGTATTTTGTTAATTAAAAATTTTCACACGTTTATTATTTCTAATCGTAGTTTTACTTCTACAGTGTCTGAGTATGGATAATATGTAATTATTTGTATGGTCAAATACAGGATATGTGGGAGATTCTCTTCTAGATAAATATGACTTCATATTTTTTAGTTGAAAATTTTTGGGAAGGTTCAGACATTTGGACCGTTTACAATTACCAATTAGCCGGCCATTGAACCGGGTGGTTTGACCGGCATTATTTTTTAGGAAGATGTTGCGACCGTTACGGAACCATTGCGTCGAGGTTTATAACCGTTAGATCAACTATCTCTGACAGTTACATGATGATCTAATAACGGTTACAAACCCCGACTGATTGGTTCCGGGACTTTAGCATTTCCCTATTTTTTTTAATTTATTGTTATTTAAAATAAAGCATTATATATAAGGAAAATATTTATAATGATAAGAAATTTTGAAGTATATAATTTATAAGCAGTGTCTCTATTATTTTTATTGATATTTATAAGAAAATAATAATACATGTAATTTTAATTCATTTTCTTAAAAAAAAAATTAAAACCAATTCTAGAATTGATAGCAAGTTTGGTGTAAAAGGAAAACTGCCACAAATGAATACAAGAAAGGTTGCGGGGTCAAAAAAAAACAATTATAAGCTTTTACCAAACAATACTTCAAAATACAGTCTGGAGTGTTGGATTTCAGCCTCTTCAAAACACAACAAACTATTATATTATCTGGTGGATAAATCTCAATTCACTCCGAGTCAACATATATCTGAACAAATAAGAGAGCTCATCAATACATATAAAGAAACAATGAATTCTAATTTAATTGCATATAAGAGTTGCAATTTCATTACAATATCATCGGTTTTGCTATGGGGCTATCGGATGGCTCGACATATAGAACCATCCATAGTTATCCACAAATGGTGCATTGACACATGTCGTGCAATAAATACACATTGGACACATGTCAATACATAAAATTATGGATGCCTGCATAAAGGAACCATCGATGGCTCCATAGCATTTCTGAGAATATCATTTCACAATCACAATTTATTCTGTCTTCATCGTATTTTACCTTTGAAATCGTTAATAAAGGTGAAGTTAATCACATTTACCCCAAAAAAAAATGTGAAAAAGAGCGAAGCAATCTTACCTCCAATTCTAGAAGTGAGTCGTAAGTTTTTTTCTCGATTGTGTCAAAAATTGTAATGCCGCTGATTTTCAGAATCCCAAGCTTAACAGCAATAAAGTTCTGCATGGAAAAATAACCTTATTTTGAGATTAATTTTGTTTCTTCTGTTTTTTACAAATTCACGAATGTGTTCAGAGTTTATACGTAGAATTATCTATTGCGTATTTAGACACGGTGCCACTCAGTCATTTTATCTTGTAACAAAGTCCGAGATATAAGAGTATTAAAGACATTTACCAGCTTAAAATTCAACGAGTTGTATGCTTGCACCTCTCCAAGAGTCTGCAAGGTAGCATGAAAAACATAGGTAAAACATTTGTCATATTTCATAATGTAAAGTTCTCAAAACATCAATTTTTGCACCGAGTATTCAATACAATCAAGCTCTTAACCTCCAGCTAAAAAAATTAATAATTAAAACCATGTTTAATTCTGTGGCTTACCAATTGCAAACCAATTATATTTAGAAATTGGTTGTTAATTGCATGGGCAATATTAGATTCCTACCTTTGTTTGAAGTCCGTTGACCATCACACCCCTTTCGTCAAACGAAACACTTTCAGACAACCATACCTCAAAGGGTCCCAATACTCGGTCCGTTGTGTTCACAAGATTCAAATTTAACTGTAGAAGATTTTATAAATGTAATTTGACATTTGGATCTCATAATTTTTATGATGGCAATCAAATGAAGGACCTAAGAAAGGAAATTTCAAGTCATGATAGTAGTTGTTACCACGAATGATTTCTCTAAGATAATGACAGGTGGGATAGACACTGCATGTAATTCAATCTCCTTGCGAGAAATGGGCTGCAATGGAATTTGCAGTGTGATGGCCATTAATCATGTGAGCCATTTTATCAAAAGCTAATTTAGTAAGTTATAAGAAAAAGGTGCATAACAAAAATTAGAAAATCTAGCTACAAAACACCGGAGATGCCATTTTACGGTAATCTTCAGATTTGAACTATAAAGGGAGATAAAAAGTTCAACTTACATTACCAAGTATATGTTGGGTTTGCAGACGACCAGGTTCACCCAAATTTGTACGCCATGTTATCTGAAATTTACCTAGAATCTTACTTCCCTCAATTTTCATTTGTGCACCATCAGGTGGCGAAAATTTCAGCTGATACAGATATTTATAAATTCCTCCCCCATGTCTAATGAGAATGGGTTCCTTGAAATTTTCTCTGGAAAAACAAAATACAAACACAAGAGATACAAAAATATAAAAATAAAAAATGATGCTAACCAATTAGATCCACTAGTATCGTTTTTTTTTTTTTCAAGATTGAATATCTTATCACTAGCTCTTGAGTAAGTAATATTGCTAAATTACCTTGCTAATGGATTATGATCAAAGGAATTATCAGGAGTTTTTAGCACAGTTGCAACCCAATGCTGAGCTGGCTCGAATTCAACTTGGTCCATATAAAGGTGAGATTTTGTATGATTTTCTAAACAAGCCTCCAAAACGTTGTGTCCTGAGAGAGTAAATTGAATATATTGAATAGAAGAAATGGTTATCTTGCAGCTGGCCAGCTGCCGCCTGCCAGAGCTCAAATAAAATGCAAATTATTGTTTCTGAAAACAATTTGATTATATGTCCATGGAAACCACTCCAAGGGCCCTTCAGAATAAAAAAAAAACCAACACTATAACATAGACAAGTAAACACCCTAAAAATCAGACAAAATATCTCGAAAATCCTCATTCTTAACAAATCATGTAGCAATAAATCATTATGCACACGCAAAAAATTTGTTTTTTGGAAGGTGACACACTTACACACCAAAAAAATTTCACCATCTTCAACATACCTTAACGTTGCGAACCTGCATTAAAGAAGAGTTACTATCACTTCCTGGAAATCAACATCTAAGGTTATCCAAACATGGAACGTGCAAATTACATGACATGGATATCTTATAATAAAGAGTACCTTTTTCCGTATTGAGATGGGGTTAGAAACTACAAACTTGAAAAACTGTGGGAGATACTTCCTCTCATTTTCACCATCAGTGTAAAGTGCAGTGCACACCAAGCTATACAAAACCACCACAATTAAACTAGTTAGAGTACAGTGTGCCACAGAACAAGTGAACCAAAATAAGCACTTCTTTGAATTCCCTTGCGTGTGTGCACCAAGTTCTTTCACATCATGCTCCACAATAAAATCGTATCGCCCCCCGACACGTACTGATTCAACGTGTGATTTCGATGTATCCAGAAGCAGTATCCTCTATCTTTCTGTTTGGATTTCAGCCTAAACAATCAAATATGAAATTTCTCATATTTTTGAATTGCAAACGAAAATAAATTGAATCAAGTTATTCATTCATTCTCCCAATAACGCCACTTTAGCTCATTCGAAAGAAATTCCAAATCTAAACGACTCGGGCAATCACTACATGCACAAATGAACATGTATTCTACCTTAATCACAACATCACGAACTTCAAAACTTGAGTTGTTGTTGATACTTATGTAACTGCAGAATGTCTCCCCAAGATATATCGCCCTAGCCCAAGAAAAAATGAAAATGATTGGCCAAATAACACAGTTCATCTAAAATTTATCACCTCACAATGAGGAGAAACATCAATCAGCACATTTCCAAATACATTCATAAAAACAAAGAGATTTGTGTGCGCGCCCGCGCGCGTGTGTGCAGCCAAAATACCCAAATGATTGGGGGAGGACGAGAAGGCCTGGGAGGCCGAGCGAGTCGGTAGGGTGCTGGAGGAGGAATCTGTTGCGGTAGCTAAGATCGGAGGGATCCACGACGGAGGGATTCGATTGGCTGCTGAGGAGGCGGGGGAGACTGGCGGCGGCGGTTGGATCGTCGAACAGGTCCTCGCTGAAAAGGAGGTCGCAGGGATCGAATTTGAGAGGGTAGGTGTCCACGTGGACCGTCGGACGGCACAATCGCATCACTCTGAAAGCTAGAGTGAGGTGACTGCTGCGCCGCGCCGCCGCTGCCGCCGCCGCTCATCTCTTTGGCTTTTCTTTTCCGGTTAGTCGAGTTTTTTCTGATATTGGTTAATTTGGTGTGCTCAGGGAGTATGCATTGAGTCGAGTTTTCGATTATATTCGAACTTTGTTGGTCGAATAATTAAATAAATAAATTTATCTATTAATATATAATAAGGATTAACATAATTCACTTTTAGAAGTACTTTCCTGTCAATTTCATTAATTTTGCCTAAAAATAGTAAATTAACGAAATCTCTATTTATTAGCATATCTTTTTTATCTATTTTTTTTAGGAATAAAATAAAAAATATGGAATCAAAATCAAAATACATCTAAGAAATACACTTACCATACTTAATACACTTAATTTAAGAAATACACTTACCATACGTATTTTTAAGAAATTTTAAAATACAATATAAAACATTTAATTAATAATTGTCAATTAATGATTCTTTTTAAAAATCAATCATATTTCTAATAATTGTTAGAAATAATTTATATATAGATGTATATATATATATATTAGTTTTTACGTGAAAGCATATGTTAATTTATATGTTAATCCTATATAATCTATATATATATTAAAGCAAAGCAGCTCAAAATTTCCCCCCAAAAACTACATTTAATACATTGTAATAAATTTTATCAATTTTTATGCATGATTTATCAACAAAAAATATTTATGTCATATAAACAATTAATTTATGTATTTTAAATGTATTGGAATTTGCACTCCAATTTTTCTTGACTAAATAAATGCTTTAACTACATCTATTACCATGAAATAAATTTTGTTAATTCCTATGTATTATTTACCATTCAAACAATATCATAAATATGTGTTACAAGTAAATACTTATGTCAGTCATAATCAATTATTATACAAATCACAATTATATATTTTTTTTATAATCAATTATTTGTTACAAATAATGTTTAATATTATACATAATTATTTATTATGAATTCTTATCTCAATATCTCACTTATTATTTGTCTCTCTTTCAGTTTGTGAGTATGAGTTCCTTTCCTTTGATAATAATAAATTATCAATCTTATTTAATTAATCACTAAAATAAAATTTAAAGTCAAATATTTTATTTAATTATTATTTTTATTGGAACACCAAACACAATATTATGTTTTCGGTTATATTGGGTATATTTCAAGGTAAAATAGAAAAAGGTAATAACTAATATGATATCTATATGTAACATAAGAAACATATATTTTTATAGTTTTTAATTTGGCATCTATATGCATATATATAGATAGATTTTTAGATTTGATATGTCAATTTAAATTTGTCATTGTTTATTTTAACATATACATGTTCATATGTTTTCATAAAAAATTTTAATAGTAGCACCATACCACATTTGAAACATATACTCTATATTGATGATTTACATACACATTAAGAAAATATGTAATCATCTCTTATTAATCTAATATTGTATACCTTTTTATCTTTATATAATACTAAGAAATTACAAGTGATCATTAATTTATTTGTATTGAGTACCTCATTACAAAACAAGATCTTTTAATTTAAATTGTAAAATATCTAATCATTCACAAACTCTTATGTAAGTTGAACTAAGAGTTAGTCAAGTAAACGTGTCATTCTATTTTAACAAAAATGTGAACTTAGGCCTCCAAATTTCATACTTTGTTTATTTTATTTTATTATATATTTTTTAAAATAATAAATAAAATAAAAATAGAGTGAAATAAAATAACGATGTTATATTTATCTAATATAACATAATTTATTCGACTAAAAGAGATGTATTTTTCAAGAAAAAATATCACATCCATATGAAATAGATCTAAAAAATGTTGAATTACCTTAACTTGAGTAAAAAAAAAATAGAAAATAGGAACATAAAGAGTGAGGGGTCTCAACAACAATAAGAGAGTTAAAATAAGTATTATATAGTTTTGACTCAGAAGACAAAATGATCATATTGATTTTGAATATATCTGATAACCATTTGTTTTATTTATTTCATTTGATCTTAAATTTAAGGTTATATAAAAGTTGGTGAAAAGTGACAACGCTTAATTTTTTATAATAAATACACAATTATACAGCTAAAAATTTTATAATTATAAAAGTAGCATAATGTGTCAATTATTGTTTAACTTTTGTTTATAAACAAAACTTTTTTTTTTTTCATGAGAGATTGATGAGAGTATATTATCACAACTGAATGTTGCAGTAATAAAGTTAAACACAACTTATTGCAATGAATCCACTACTTTTTTCTTATCACATATCAAAATGTTAATTTCACAATAATGTGTTTTTAATATATTTTATATAATATAATTTAAATTATTTTTTGTATTACTTTACGAAAAAGTTTGTCAGTTTTTATTTCTAAAAATTACATTGAATTATCATTTTCACCGATTTCCTGAAAAAATAAGTACTTTAATATATTACAGTTCTCATTAATTTCATCCAATAATAATAATAATAATAATAATAATAATAATAATAATAATAATAATAATAAGTATTTTAATAAATATACAATTTTACATGAAAAAAATTATAAATAAAGATAGCATAATGGGCAATTATCATTTAATTTGTCCATATCAAAAATGTTTTTTTTTTTTTTCCATAAGAGAATGATGAGATCATAATATTACAAATGAACGTTGTAGTAGATAAAGTTAACCACAAACTTATTATAATGCATCAACTACTCCTTCTTTATCATGTATCATAATGTTAATTTTATTTTATCTCTTTTAGATTTTATATAATGTAATTTCAATGTTTTTTTTCTTTTTGTATTACATTACAAAATTTTTCAAGTTTTACTATAATATATTGAATTATAATTTTCAATGGTTTTATGCACAAATAAGTATTTTAATATTACATTGAATTACAATTCTCATGAATTTCATGCAAAAAATAAATATTTTAATATTAAGTTAATGAGTCTATTTATGACTTTATGAAAAATGATGAATCTTTCACGTCATTCTATAATCACCATCGCACTTATTTTGTGAAAAAACAAAGTTGAGATTTATTTTGTTAATAAAAAGTAAAAAAATATGTAGATGTAATTTAAAATTTAATACATGCAGATAGAAATTATTTTAATTTTTATTAGATATTTAATTTGTATTTATATATTTTAATTTTTTTCATCTTCTTACATGTTAACATTAATATTCAATATTAGTTTATTTGTACAATAGTAATCATGACTTTATTTTCTTTTTTGAACTATGAAAATTATGTTATCACATATACATTTTTATGAAAATTTTTGAAGAAGAGTTATTAATGTGACCAAGATTTTTTTTTCATGGTATATCACATTTTTGTAAGCTTAAAAATTTTCAAAACAAATTATATTGGATTTTATAATTTCTTTTTTGTTAATTGTTATTGTTTCTAGAGTCACAATCCATGTTGTCTAATTATTGTTATTACAATTGGTGATACACAGTCCATTTTCTATTAATGTTGTATTTGTGGAAGTATTTTAAATGGATTAATAAAAAATTTATTCTACATTATCTCAATAAATTTTATAAAAAATATTTTTCTATTAAATTTTGATTCATTCACACTATTTTTAATATTAGGTCGCGCAACGCGCGGGTAATGTACTAGTAAGGATTAAAATAAATCAAATTTAAAAGCAATTTCCCGCCACTTTCATTAATTATCACCTAAAAACAGTAAATCAGATTTTTTCGTTTTTTTTATTAATAACATCAAATACTTTTATATTGGTAAATAATAAGGAATCAAAATCCGAATAAATATCCTATTTTTCCAAACAATTTGGAAATCTGAATGTAAATCCGAATAAATCATGATTTTAGAAATCGTGATTTCCAAACAATTTGGAAATCCGAATAAATCTCCAAGGAAAATCATGATTTGTATATATCATGATTTTAGAAATCTGTTCAAAATTTTCTTTGCATGAATCTGAATCATAATTCATTCAGCCTATTATTATACTATTAAATTGATTGAAACTGCATGCTAAGATTTATATATATCAGATTTCTAAAACCATTATTTGTATATATCATCTTTTCACCAATTAGACTTTTTTCTTCATTATCGATTTGAAAAGGAAAACGAATTTTATATACCTTATCAGTTTTGATAATACAATGTTATAATCATTATCATTATTTATTTTAGAATATAGTGTTTGTCATTTATTTGATTTCAAAAGATGAAAAAATTTTCATAGTTTAACTCTTTTTATTTATGCATTTACACAAATTAATTTAAAAACTTTAATAACGACTGGCAACTAAATTTGTTATATATTGATTCAAACCAACTAATTAATAAAAGATTCCATCAATCACGAAATTAAAAGCTAACACACGATTATTACATTTCCAAGATTAAGTTTTTTAGATAAATATTAATTTATATTGTCATGACGATAAACAAGAGTGAATGTCAATCTTAGAAATTTGATGATTTCAACTGCTATATTTCTAAGGGTTTTTTTTACCGTTGGAATATGCAAATTTCGTTGGAATTTTTATTTCCACCCCGTTGAAAAATCCACTGTTAGAATCATCAAAATCCAACAGAAATTACAATGGAAAATTCATTCCAACGGAATATTTTTGTTGGAATTTCCGTTGGAATCCATTGAAAATTTCCAACGGAAATAATAATATTGAAATATCCGTTTGAATTGTCGTTGAAATAATTTCTTTTGGAATAGATTTCTATTGAAATTTTATCATTTTATTGTAGTGTACCCAATAATCAAACTAATAATATTGTTTACAATTAGGTTTTTAATAACATATGATTTTCTCATACCCGAACATTTTATGAGCATTTTTCGCTCAAAACATTAATTACCTACTATAGATGGAAATAATATAAAATGATCTAAATAAAAAATAAATCATTAATTGAATAATTTTCATAT